TGAGCTAAACCATCTTTTTTAAATATTTGGCCTAATGCTAATGCAAAAATACAACATCCTATCTTTGGAAGAATTTTTTTGGACTTTTGGAAGTTTTTGGAAGAAAGAGCTCAAGAAAATAGAGGATTCCAAGCCTAGAAACTAAAATTAAACATTGATCAAGAGTTGCTCTGGAGTTCTTGCAAACCTCAGATTAAACTTGGAGCTGAACTAAAACTTTGGAATTGACTTGTAGCCTAGGCAATAGGACAGGAATAGAAAAATAGATTCAAAGTCATTATGGGGTTTAAAACAGCACAAAGAATGGTTTTGAGATTGTAATAAGAATGGACAAAATTTCAGTCTTCTGCAACTAAGTGATTTTTGGACAGGCTGGGACCTTAGCTTCCATAGCTCATAGTCTAAAGACATCCTGGCTAGAGTCTAACAGTGCTAGCAAATCTGGAGGTACCAGGCTGAGGAAGATGGAATAACGTGATCCACTAGAATGAAGGAAAACCTCAACGAGGTTCCTTCAGACTACGTGAGTTTAGATTGCATGACTCACTAATATAGAAGAAGATATACTATAAGGATCATGTAAGTATTGCTATACAAAATCACATTTTTTATTTTCTTGGTGGGCTTTTGTTTAATTTATAAACAAAAATTATAATTTATAAATTCAGTACATTAAATTTTTATAAACAAAACCCTTCCTTTCCCAAAATGGAGCTCCCAGCAGCTGTTAGTAACAAGAAAAGTGAGATCAAAAGGAAAAAATTCATACTCAGTGGCTCAGCAGTCAAAGCAGCTCCTATGCCAAAGGGCCTGTCTGAATAAAAATATCTTTGCTTGCTAGTAGAAGGAGAACTGAGACAGATGGAATTCCAAACCCATCAGACAGTCAAGATTTTGACCAACCCATCTCTCTCGGAAAGAGGAAAGCTTTAAGGTTGGACTACTTTTTCCCAGCCAAGCTCAGGATCAAACAACTTAAAGGCACTGGGTTACGACTTCTCAGTCATGTGGGCATTTATTCCTTGGGAGCAGTTTGCTCAGTCTAACAGTGGAGGGAAGATAACATCTTCTTTAAGTTGACCAGGGGAGGAACTGCATATATAAATACTGTAAGCTCTGACACTCTGCCATCCTTTGGGGACATGATTCCTCTTCCCAGCAATCTACCAAACCTCAGCCTCTGTAGCTCATTCCAGAACAAAATGGATTGTGGAACCAAGATGACAGGGTAAAGCCCACAGGAAAAATCCAAAGTGTAACTACACATCTAGTAGTGTGCTAAGAGCTAGCACATCTAGCTTTCTATGTAATGCAAAGTAATAACGTCTGCATTGAAATGCCATGTCTTGGCACACCATTATTTTCATGGGGGTGCACATTTGGAGATCCAAGGGAGCATTGGCCTGGTTGCCTAGGCAACAGAGATGTTCCTTCTTCTCACCCCCCCCATCCCAATTGGCAGCCACAGATTGAGAAAAACAACAATAGCCTCCATGAAAGGTGGAAAGCAGGGGGCTGGGGGGGGGGGGGTTCATGGTGCTTTTAAAAAAATCCCTGAGACTGCCAAAATCAAATTGCATGAAAATATGATGCAGTATAATAACAGAGACATAAAAGGAAGCCAATGTGGTCTTATACCTAATACGAAAATTTGTATCCTGCCTTTCTAATGCATATGCAGCGCTCAAGGTGGCTAACAGCATTTATACCAGTACAAAGTTAAAATAATTTAGACCAAACGATTTTAGTCATAGTCTAAAACAAAGGCCAATGCAACGCTGAAAAGAATATCTAACAAGAGCAGGCAGGAAAAATAGATAACATCATCAAGTCAAAATGCTCCTGGGGAGAGCCTAAAGAAGAGACCCTTTACCAACTAATCTGGATGCCCATAAGCAATAGTTACGCGTCAGGAGATGAGCCTCCTTGGAGTACTTTCCACAGCTCAGAAAAAAAAAAATTAAATTCTGCAGGATATGCATGGGCATTATTTGTGGCTCCCCCCACCAAAAGAACATGTCAAAAAGTCACTTGTTGTTTCCTTAATATATTAAGAGGAAACAGCCCAGCAAGACGTGGGGAATAGATAAATGTACAGGCATTTCAGAAGAGCTGCTCTTCTGAGAGCTAAATTTCAGAATCCCATTTGAAATGGAACCATTACAAACAGATGGTTTTGATTACATCTGTTTCATGTGGCACCTGTTATAAATATGAGGGCTGTGCTAATCCATCAAAAGAGGATTTGGAATAGGCAGGAAAAAGCTCCTCTTCTTGAATGCAGAGACAGCCAGAAGCAGCTTCCTGAACAGCCACACGAACTTATAATGGGAGTTTAAAGTTGGGATCAAATTTGTTATGCACCTTGCAGAGCAAGTGAGGTAATCTTAAAAGTAATAGCAGCAATTTTATGCAGCTATAGGGAATAAAAGGAGTTCAGCTTCTTATATCCCAATCAAACATGATTTTCTGAGGCCTTCTACTAAAGGCCCTCCCCCCCCCCGAGATGAGGAGGTTAACAATCAAGGAGACAACCTCCTTAATTACAGCGCCACACTGGGGGAATACTTCCCCCAGGAAAGCTTGTTGTGGCACTTACAAACTTACATTTGCCCAGGTGTTTAATGGCTGGGATATATGATGATGATGATGATGATGATGATGATGATGATGATGAAGAAGATGAAGATGAAGAAATAATTTACAGTCATAGACCAAAGTAAGCAAAAAAGAAAGCAACATTAAAATGTCTTGGATAAAAAAAGCTTATTCAAACTAGGAGTTAAATGTATCTATATTGTGTTCTCAGTTTGTCACTTTACGCTCTTGGTTGTTTAATAGGAAACACAATTGCCTGTTGGGATCAGGACTGGTGATTAGAAGAGTGATTAACTCTGTCATCCAAGAGTGATAGATAGGATGCTTCTATGTACAGTAAATACATAAGCAATCTGGATAGGGGATATTATTGAATCGCCTGGTCAATATCACTGAGGGCAACTGCATCTAAGTCTGCCCTCTGGGGGAGGATGCAAGGATATAATAAAAGTATTTGGGATTGGTGAAAGGTGAATATGTGAGCTCCTTGTGAAAGAGGCACGAGGTGTTAAATCTATTTCTTTGTACATCAGGTAAAAAAATTGTTCCAAGCTTTATCACCTGCTCTATTTCTTTATGTGTGTGATTTCTTGCAAATGTACTGTATGTATGTATTTACAGTGGAACCTCGGGTTACGAACTTAATC